ACATAGGCATGCTTGTGTGGGGGGGAAGGGGGCAAGGGGGGGGGAGGGGGGGGAGGGGGGGGAAGGGCGACCAGGATTTTGGTACTCCCGCCCCGCACAGCCCAAATCCGTTGAAGGAGGCGAAACTTCACCGCGGCACCTTGGGGCTCATTTATGGGTTCTCATATAGGGACCCCCCCCCCCCCCACGGTGGTGGTTTTGGGGGGTGAAGGTCAGTGGGGAGGGGATTAAGAGGTGGGGAATAGAGGGAATCCGAATAGGAACCTCTGACCGCTTCGGCCGGGGCCGAGGCGAATATCTCTAATAATATAATCTATATCCATATATATCGCTTCTTCTTATAATTCTCATATATACATTTGTATAATTCGATAGAAAATGATAATTTGAATAAATTTCGTGAAATGGGACTAAATATGAGAAAAAATTTTAAATTAGATCCTTAGAATAACAATAAACTTCTATAAAAAATAATTCTTATATTTTTCTAAATTATTTCTTTATTTTTCATATAATAATTATGAATTCGAATAAGAAGAAACTTAATTTTTCAATATTCGACGTAAAATATCATATTAACTTAGTAGATATAACAAAAAAATCTTATTAGAGTAAGTCGAGCCCAATTATAACATCGAATCGATTTAGAGATTTTCTATTTACTCAGCCAAAGATTTAATTGCCAAAGAATCGGTCTCAGATAGAGAGTTCCCTTCTATATAGAATCGAAATCGAATAGAAGTCATCAGCCTAAAAGAATTTTTTTATTATCTCAATCCTACAAATCTCATTTTTTCTCCCGACGAACAAATTTAAGACGGAGCCTCCAATCTCTTAATATCCCTCTCTATTCATCCCTTCGTATTTAGAATTAGCACTACACTTTCCCTCTCTAAATATATACAAATAATTTTGTGCAAATTTTTAATATATATAAAATTTAAAATTATACAAATAATTAATCGAAATTAAAACAATCTTAAAATCCAACGCCTATATATAAAAATATAGAAATTCCAATATGAATGTTCGTATTATAAATATAAAGAATAATATTCGAAATAGAAAGATATAGAAATAAGAAAAATTATTAATTAAAAAGATCTAGAAACAAAAAAAATATTCGTAGTCGAATCCTAAATTTTCATAGCGAATTATAATTCGATAATTTCTACGATATAAAAATATAGATATTTCAGGGTCTGCCCTAAAATACAAGCGTTCGAATCATAATGACAAGTAATTGCCGTTTATATTACTCCGAACGGAGGAGAACCTGCCTCACGTCAAGGCACCGAGGCAGAAAATTGGCCAGATTTTGCCCGTAGCTGCTGCCCTAGCTACTGAGCCTGAAACTTCAAGTGCCGTCACTGACCTGATTATGCCAATATGAAGCGAATCGAACAACTGAACACAGGCCGCATCGTATACGACTCAACACGATCCTATGTTTTCTACGGTGCCCTCCTCATTTCTTCAGAACAGACATTGCAAGGACCCTATCACCAGCAGCAAACAAGAATATGTGCGTGCATTTAGCACCTCGTTTCGGTGGAGCACGGCAAATTCATGCTCTTTCCATAATCTCTGAACTTGCAAACTCAACAAGAGAATAGATAGGGCCTTAGTAGTTAGAACAGGGTTTGGGGGGCATGATCTGGTAGTCTGTCGGTACCGATTTGAGCCTGTAAGTCCTCAGAGCTGGGAGGCAGGGACTTTTGGGGGTACTATAAAGTCACCACCAGGTTATTCTAAACAGGACGATAAGTGGACTCTAAACGTCCTAAAAGGGTCCGAGAGGGGTCCGAGGTAGTCGAAGAATAGGAGCTTAGGCACCACTTGGGGCAGCGGCATAGAGTATAGTGGTATTCGCCGAATTCATGGTTGAGACTACCGGCCGGTATTTTTCGACGCGCCTCGCTGTCTGCGCATTAATCTTCAAAAGTTCCTGGTCCCTACTTCTCCATCACGCGCCATCGGGGTACCCAGGTACACCTGGCATCTGACCGAGGCCCACGCACTACTGATGTCTTATCAAGCCTATTCCCACTGATGGTGTGGGAGGTTAATGTCAATGCACGTTGGAAACACTGTGCCATGAGTGGAGAAGTCCAGAGAAGAATCTCAGAATAACATCTGCAACGAAAGCACGCCCTGCTGCCTGAAAAGTGCTATGGACCTCCGGTCCAGGCACGGCGATGGGCGCACGCCGGGAAGATTCTTGCAAGAGACGGAAGGCCTCACTGGCCCTCACTTCTTCTGTCGCTTGGCCCAGACACTGCCCGTGTCGATGAGGCCAGCCTTCGCCATGGCCTTAGCCTCCACGGAGGAGACTTCGAGGTAGCCCTGGGAGCTGGCCGGGTTCAGGCCTGCAGAAGCCTCCATGGAGGAGTCCTCCTCGAAGTAGATGCTCTGCGCGCAGTCCGTCAAGGCCAGGAAGTTCATGTGGCCCTTGTGCAGCCCCAGCTTGACCTTCAGCATGCACCAAACGATCTACAATGCTGTGAATGCCTTGCTTACTATCTGTAGCTCTCTGGGGGAATCCGGTATTACAGCATAAGCCGAATGAACTAGGTCGCCGAGATTCTGTTCCTGAGGCAGGCTCTGCCAGCTGCCACACTGCGTTGATGGCAGTGCGAGTGGAGGGATCGAAGTAGCGGCCGTCATAGATCTGATCGGAGATATGGGCGCTAAGCTGCCGGAAGAGAAGAGTAGACCTGGCGAGTAGAATGGATGCTTCGACTCCGCTTACGGTTTTTGCTGTTAGTACTATATCATACAGCCCAGTATGGCCTTTCAGCACACGCATTCAATAACTTGAAAATGGCTGCGGCTACCGTGTGAATGTGATTACTGATAAAATGGTGTGTTGCAGTTAACACCATCATGATTGTTGTGCTTCATGATGAGATCGTTGTTATTGTTGCTGCTGCTACTGCTACTG